ACCGCTTCTTCTAAGTGATTTTCTTTCGAAAAAGGTAAACGCAGTAGTAGACTCTAATTTTAAAGGTTCATGGGAATTTTTTTTATACTCCTGTGCATGTTGACTAACAACACGTTCCTGTTTCCCCGCCTTAGGTGTCTTCACTTTATTCATGGGCGGTGTTATCCCACGGCGAGTCGTGCGCCGCATCGGCGTGGTATCGAGAAACGCCGGCACATCTGCACCAACCAAGGCTAAGCAGACAGAGGAGCCGATGCTTTCTGTGAGCACCTACGGTTACTTTGGCCTGTTCCCCCGCGAGCCGACTTTTCAAGTGCCCTTCAGTCAGGTTCGCTCCACTGCGCCCTATAAGGAGGGCAACAAATTCATCAATATCGCCATTACCCAGCGTGTTTTCACCTTCTACGTAGAGAAGTACCAGGCAGAATACATGCTGCCAGAATTCTTTGACCATCTGGATCGGACTGCTACGGATTCAATGCCTCCAAAGAAGAAATGAGTAGCGGACGCCGTGCGACAGGCTGTAGTCTTTCAGAGTCGTTACCGGTTTAAAATTAGTACCGAAACATATATACACTCACCCCCTTCTTTCTCTTTTTACTCGTCTTATTGTATTTATATGGTTGTATAATACGTTAGTGGTAAAGATGTTGGTGGTCTCATTTAGTCAAATTGTGGGATCTTCCTACTACTTCATTGGAGCAGCTGTCCTGGAGATATACCTCAGGAGGGTTTCGTTGCCCAGCCAAACGTATCAACTGTGTGGTGTTGTCTGACTGGTAAAACAGAGACCAGACCTTCGGCATAAAACCCATTGGGCGGCTATTTTTGCCGGCAAGGATCTTAAATGTAAATTCCCTGACAAAACGGAGCAGCGGAGCTCCCGTAAAAAAGAAGGAGTGATTTTATTAATTTGAACAGTAGGGCGGATGAGTGAGGCAGTTAACACAGTCGGTGTTGAGAATACTCTCGTTTCTAGCATAAGTTTGTTTCCCTACTCTAATGAGCTGCTGGAAATGACGCGCATTATGAAATAAGCGAACTAGGGAGCGTGCAAACGGGCTAAAAACAGCAAGTCCCACTTTTCAGGCAATGTTAAAAGAAATTTACAATGGGGATCGAGCTAACAGTTGAAAATATCGGCAAATATAACATGGTTACTAGTGTTAGTCAGCAGTTGGGATTTTCGGGATAAAAAATGGTGTGTTGCAGTCAAACTTAACTCTAGCACGAATCCGAAAACCAAACCTTCACTACCCCTGTTTGTTAATTCAGCCCTCACTTTATGCTCAACCCTTTCTTCCACTTTGATTAACCTCAATTTTGACGTTTTTTCTGATGTAGTATGCCTACCTAAATCGATTCACCGAGAACCAGACTGCCATTTGTGCGCAAGTAGTCGCGGGAGGGTCAGCGATGCAACATGCATCCGAATTTGGTCCACTAAAAATGTCGCTCTATCGCGGGAACTTTTGCGGTAGAAGTGAGTGACCTTGGGCTTAACGAGCCCTGAAGCATTTCAGGTGACCGGCACAACGTTAGCGTTGGCCATGACTTCTGAGGAGCAGAATAGAGCCGCTGA